TTTAAAGAAAGATGCTCCCTTCGTTTGGACCTTCCGTCAAAAAAGGCATTCCAAACTCTAAAAAGAAAAGCTAACATCTGCTCCCAATTTTGAAATTCCCGAATTTTGCTAAGGCCCTTCTATCTAAACAACTGACCTAGTTCAATAGGCATAGGTGCCGTACTAGTTTCAGAAGACTGATGGCAAGTACAACACAGTTGCATTTGCTAGCCGAGTTCTTATGAAGGCGAACATAATTATACAGTAAGGGGCAAGAAGCTTTAGCAATAGAAATGGTCTTTAAAGCACTTCCGGGGAAAATTATTTCCCAGTACCCTGTTCATGTCTTGACAGACCATGCACCACTGATAACCTTTATTCCAGAACAAACAGCCTACTGGAAGGTTAGCCAGAGAACCTTTTGACTACCAAGAGTTCAATCCCACTTTTGAACATTTACCTGGCAAGTCAAATGTAGCCCGCAGATGCTTTACCCGCGACACGTTAGTGTAGTTACTGCAGATCCTCCTTTTACTGTGAGGATGTCAAAAATGCCCAAAGAACAGATCCCATGTGGTCTGGTGTGATTCGATTCCTGCTCCAGGAAGATCTTATTCTTACTGTGAAGCCACCAGCACCCATTAGTGACTTTGTAATGAGCCAAGAATTACTGTATCGAACAGCCAAGTTGGGTACTCCAAGCAGGAGAGTGTACCAGTTAGTAATTCCACAGTCACTAGTGAACGTAGCTCTACAAGCAGTTCATGATGCACCAGGTGTTGCACACCCTGGTATGGATCGTTCTGTGAAACAAGCCAGAATGAAAAAACTTTTGGCCACGTATGGCAACTGACATTTCCGAGTATGTTAAGAAATGTAGTGTCTGTATGCAACATAAAGGAAATGTCAATGGTCCTAATCCAATCCAAGTGTACCCAACCAATAGTTGCCCTTGACTTGTTAACCAATTTTAAATGTTCTCTCCAAGGCAACAAACATCTGTGTGTTATGGTAGACCATTTCACCAGATATTGTGAGTTAGTTCCTATTGCAGATAAGACTGCAGAGACAGTAGCTAGAGTGTTTAAAGAACACATTATCTGCAGGCACACCACCCCTAAGTCCTTAGTAACAGATAATGGAGGTGAATTCTGTAATGAGATTCTTGAAAATTTGTGTACTTTATACAAGATATCTAAATCCACCATTGTTCCTCATCATCCTGCCAGCAATGGGTTAGCCAAACGAACCAATAAGAAAGTACTTGATGTCCTGAGAGCCACTATCAACCTCAATAGTGAAACTTGGGATGAAGTCATACCAGATGTTCAATGTGCCATAAATTCTGCTTACAATGCTTCCATAGGTGATACTCCACATAATGCATTGTATGGTGTAGACAAGCGTTTACCATATGAGTTGTTATATTCCACTCTGAAACCTAATTACAACCCTGATGATTTCATAGCAACTCGTACCAGCATGGCTCAGAGTGTTTTTAGAAGAATCCGTGAAACACTTCATAAATCAACAGCAGAATTTACTAGAGTAACTAATAGCCATGCTAAGCCATCAAAAGTCAAAGTAGGTTCGAGAGTAATGCTGACAAATTTCAACAAAACATCCGCAATGCCTAAGCTCGATCAAAAGTTTGTCGGACCTTATCGAGTTGTAATAAGTATAAGGTTAGAGAAATTAGTACTGGTAAGTACAAAGAATCGCATTTAGATCATATGAAATTAGTATGCGATGTTGATGATATTGCTACCCAGACTAATGTGACAGATGCTGAAAATCCTCTTGACTCTGTACCCTCTACCTCAGATACTCAATCAGATAATCAACCTGAATGTCGTTACTCCTTGCGTACTCAGCAAGTAATGAGAAACCCACAAGTATCTTTTGTAGATGCTCGTTCAAATCTCCCTCAGCCAAGGCATGTGTTAGCCATTGCAGAGGAATTCGATCCTCCCAGAGATGATAACCATTCTGCATATGTAAACCTCACCCTCACAGAATTGGGTTTAAATGTACATTGTCTGTATAACTAGATGTCCGAGATGAAGTAAATTGTCAACCGTTTGTTATTAACTGATTAGTTTTTCAGAAAAAATTTTTATTCGTATTCACGTTCCCTCTGTATTCTGAGAATTTGACAGTAATGATCTGAGTGCGCACCAGATGCCTTTGCTGTTAATTTCACCTTGTATATATTTATTCCTCCTCAGAATCCATAGAGTGCATGAATACAGATCGATCGATCAATTCCATCCATATTATACAATGATTTGTTCTTATAGTTTGTAATGCATTACGTTAAAAGTGATTACGTTAAAACCCATTACGTAAAACTCATTTTGTTAACATCCATTATGATACCATCCATTAATTCTAAGTTATATATGAATTTGTTATTGTATAGAATCAGCCGAGAACCACCTGCCTGTTCAACCTATAGATAGCAGTGTATGTCGAAACGACATATGCAACATGACCGAGCTGTCAGCATAGTTGCTGATCCCTGTGTTGTATAGCATATCAGTATCATCCATGTGCTTTAGACAGGAGATCCCTAGGCCTGTGACTGTGTGACATCACGGGATGCGCATGTGTACGTTCGTACCTCTGCCACCTGCTCAGTCGGTGTTAGACATAGGCTAGGACAGGCTGAGGCTGGGCTCCATCTCCCATCATCACAGTCGGACAATATATCGTTACCATCCAACAAGTGTGTCTACCTTCAACCCTCGATATCTCCATTTAAGAACCCCTACGATACTGGGGGACAAGATTGAGGACCCCAATGGAAATAAGTTAGACAGTCCTCGATGACGCACTGACTTTTTTGGGTTATCCTGGGTAGCTAACCCTCCGGGGTTAAAAATCCGAGCGAAATCTTATCTTATCTTATTTTCTTGTTGTGTAAAGCATCTACACTGTACATTGTCCATAGAAGATAAAGTGGTTTTGACGCCATTGTTGGTTGCTAGGAGCTCCTGAGTCATGCTGTCAACACTAATATCAACACTACAGCTTATTTACCTATCACAATTGATCTAATATGACATAATAAACAATATAAATAACATAAAAACATGGTAAATACTCAGTATGAATACTATTTGGCATAATACCGAGCGGTCATACAGAGGTATAAAGTTACCGCTATAGAATATGGGATAAAAGTACCATCCTCCTATCCCTGTCTTGGGGGTTTATATTAGAGAAAACGTAGTGTAGTACAGGACTAACTATGATATACATGTTTTCGTTGATTATCTCGGAAGTAGGTTACTCATTTATATCTTAACATACCCCTCAAGGGAGGTTCCTTGACACTGGTGAGGGGCTCCTGATCTTGGGAATTGGATCTGTGCTCCAGTTCCCTGAATTAAGCCTGAATACCTTTCATTCCCTCCCCCACAGGCACTGTATAATCCTACGGGTTTAGCGCTTCCCCATTATAATAATAATAATAATAATAATAATATCTTAACATAGCGGCATTAATGATGATAGGAATGCAATGAATTTCACAGACAACATAAAAGAACCCCAATGGAAATAAGTTACTTTGACTTTTTTTTGGATTATCCTAGGTTCTCTACGTAACCGTATTTGTTGTTTTCTGGGTTGTCTTATTGAAACTTGGGTAATGTATGATGTAAAGATGGTTCTTAATGTACACCAAAAATAAAAGAAATCAGACAATAATTAACGGAGTTCACTTCTCAGCCATTAGCCGCCCCTTAGCGGTATATTTTCGTATGGTTTTTGTGGTTGTATTCTCGCTTTTTTTGTCTAATTTGATAGAATAGAACAGATATTACAGAAATAGATATGATTTTGATTGGTTTCACAACTAAAAGTACCTTGAAATTGAGCTCAAGGTAATGGAAATGTACAATATATGTCTGGCTGGCCAGACTAATACGCAGTCACGAGTGGGTTGACATTACTTACACAATTATTACAGTAGTCTGCATAACAGCAAATCTATTTTTTGTGTGAATAAAAATTCAAAATGGAAAGTAAGATTAATATAAGAGGGGTCTGGAGACGTGACTAATGAACAGAGAAAATGTTATCTTAGTGCCAGGAATGTCTGCATTGCTTACTCTGGATCCTATTTTGAAATTGGCATCTTTTGAAATTTGGGTGAAATTGGCCAAATTGCCAATTTCTGACCACTTTTTTGGGTAGGTGAAATAGGTTAATGGGCAGTTTCTTGTACTCAGTCGACAGAATAGAAGTAAGTTTATTCAGGTATACACAAATACAGTTACACAGTTTATCATACATAGCAGCATATGTCTCAAGAATCTGGGATAACCCAAAAAATGTCAAAGTGACTTAGTTCCATTGGGGTCCTTAAAGACCATCGTATAGTCGATGGGTTTTAACACATACTAAACCAGCTAGCCATTTTGTATAACAAACCAGAAACAAGAATAGATCTTGCAAGACCCTTTGCAAGATCTGTTCTTACAAGATTTGCACTGAGGCGAAGGTTCAGTGCAAAGCTTGTATAATAATATCTTTATTTTACTACAAGTACATGTACAGGGTATACAGTCCTAGCTGATAACAATGACATACTATATAGAAAGTCCCTTGTTATGCTCCACATTTTGGGTAAATTAGGTCAGTGTCCCAGGATGCGACCCACACCAGTCGACTAACGCCCAGGTACCCATTTTACTGATGGGGAACATAGACAATAGGTGGAAAGAAACATGTCCAATGTTTCTACTCTGGCTGGGAATCGAACCCAGGCCCTCGCCGTGTGAAGCGAGAGCGTTAACCACCAGGCCACCAGAGCCTGGTGGATTTAACAGCACTACAGAAGATACTAGCCAAAATAAGCTATGAGTTTTGGTAGTCTGGAACAATAGAATGAACCAGAAATGGGGCATAAACTTGGGTGCAATCGCCAATGCGTAAATATTCACCGTTGGGTGAAGTGTATTTACCTAATACTCTGTGATCCGGCAAAGTCATTAATCCGGCATCTACAGGTCCCGATGATGCCGGATGAGTAGATGGCAGACCTGTACCAGATAGTCAAATAACCTAATGTCGTGATAAAAGGCAAGCTGGTTAGATTCTGGACAGAAAAGGTTAGGTAAGGTTTTTGTCAGGAGGGGAAACAGGGACAAGTGTTTCCTAATGTAGGTCTTTCATATGATGACTGCAGCTGGGCTTTTGGTTATCTGACGAGGCCCTTCCACTGGCTTACCTCTCCAACTCTTTAAAAATAGGTTATGGATTATAACCCATTAGCATTCTTTTTTTCTTGTATGAAGGTAAAGCGTGTTAGACCCTACCTCTCAGCAGGAGTACTTCAGCAGCATTGTCCAATGTGCTGTTGTAGGTGCTTGGTTTCTCCTCAGCTCTGGGCTGCCTCCATCTCTTTTGTGTATAGCCAGTTTTGACAGATGTAACAGGTGTTTCCTATACCTCGGTTACACACGTGTTCCCCGTCCTCACTACACAACACCTGACAACACAATACTAATTGGCTTCATACACTAAACAGACTGGTTGGATCTGAGAGGTGTAATAAATTAGGTCCGGGAAATGTTAAATTTTTTTCATGGTAAAGCAAAACAAACTGTTTTATTTTGAGGAAAATCTAATTGAAAAAAACTTTTTAATTGTTGAGCTGATAACCTAAATGTTCAGGTCGAAAACCCTGAAAGTTATAATTACGTAAATTTAAAAAGGTTAGAGTTTTCGGATAGTTAAAAACTGAGCTTTAATTATAATTCTGTCTTTAAACTACATCTGACACCAAATAAATGCATATTTATAAGGATTAAAAAATCATAAAAAAAAATCCATAGACAAGCAATCACTTCTTACAGACACGGCGTTAGGAAATTATGGCTGTAGATCTGGCAGTCACTAAAGTCAAACAAGAACTGCCTGACAATAAAGGGAAAGGCTAACAGAGAAAGTAGTTTTTCTTCATCCATATGTTTTCTTTGCCATTATGTATAGTTTTACAAGTTAAATCATTAGTATAAAGATAAAGACAGAGGGAAAAGAGCCATCATCATCACAGGTAATTGCAAGAGAGTGTAAGAGTGGTCTAGACCCGCTTAATTGAGTGACCTGCAGCAGGATGGTCAGGCCGTCTCTCACGCTATTGGTTGGTTGAAAATGGATAATTAAATTCGCAGTGGGGCCCCCGAACTGCTATTATTCTGAATAGCCCAGTTTGCTGGTCGCGAAGGTATGCCACTGGGTTGTGATGAACGTTGAATAAATTGTATCATACTTGGCACTCCTGGTAAACCCTTTTGGAGGACTAATTCCTAGGCTTTTGTATAATCCATATGCATTTGTGGCCCCCCCACCATTTGATGGATATGGATTACACAATAAACTAGCCGCTTACTCTTGGGAGGCAAACAATAAAAAAATCAACCCTCAATCACACAGGAAATTTTGAGAATGATTATCTTTTTCCGTGCCAGCATGACTCGATGTGACGGGAATGTCTCACTCTTTAAAATGCGTGTCTTTATCTCTGCTGGACCGTGTTAGTACGAGTGATTCTGGTGATGTACTGAGCCGCCAGTTCCTGATGTGTTGATGATCTTAATGAGAGTGCCGCCCATGGACCCACTTCAACTGGCACTTCACCTCACACCCATGGATCAGCAGCTGTAACAATCGTTCTTGAGTCTTCATTGTGATCTCTAGATGACCTGTTATTTTGAAGACGACATTATATATATATTATATATATATATCATATTATATATATATAATATATATATATATATATATATATATATCTATATATATATGTCGTGCCGAATAGTTAAAACTGGTCAATTCTGCAAGAACTCATTTAAAATGAAGTCCTTTCTAAAATTTTCTCTTATACTTTAAAGATATCTTTTTTCATTAATGTTTGATGCAAAAAATTTTTAATTTTGCACAAAAGGAAATTAGAAAACTTACCAAAACCTTATTATAAACAGAAAAAATTTATTTTAGCTCTAACCCCAAACTAAGATATTTTAGATTTGGTTTACAATAATGTAATCCTAAAACGAACACAGTGATATATATTTTTTTCGTTAGGTTCAGATGATTTTGGCGAATTTTTGCATGCACAAATTGTCACTTAGTCCTATATGGCAAGAATGGCGTTGCTTATTTAAGCAAGATGCAAGTTCTGCCTTTTCGGCACGACATATATATATATATATATATATATATATTATACAAAGGAATTTCGCAAACGAGCAGGCGAAATTTACAAACACTGATCCCTGGCCGAAGGAGACTCGAACCTACGAACCTTGGAACAAGGTACGCAGAGAGTGCTTTACTAATCTACCCACCACTGGCACAATACCTTGGCGTGCAGCTTACGCTACACGTTTCATCCAAGGGCAGCCAAGCTTCAGGGAGAAGGCTTACCGCTTTTCATCTCATCTCCTGCATGCATCAAGTCTTACTAGAGATATTAACAATGCAAGGAATCGCAAGATTATTATTATAATCAAGGGGGAAGCGCTTAACCGGAGGATTATACAGCACCTGGGGGGGATGTGGAAGGGCCATTCAGGTTTAATTCGGGGGACACTGGAGCAGATCCAATTCCCTAAATCAGAACTCCTCCACCAACATCAAGGAACCTTCCCTGTGGGGGGAATTTCGCAAAACCAGCGATACAAGATGCAAAAACAACCACGGGGGGAGTTGAAATACAGTTAGGATTTTCGTGTTGCAATCAACACATCATCAGGAGCTTGTGAAACAGCAGAAAACAGGAGGGGGTTCTAGCAAATATGTTCCCAGATGATCCTTGAAAGCGTTTATTTTAACGAGCCCCGTTCTTTACATAAACTTGTAGATGTCCCCTATATAAAGGACCGTTTTCTTTCATACTTTAAAGGGACACGTGGACCTTGGGTGCCTGGTCATTCCCGTGCTCTCCTTTCTCCCACACATTCTCTACTCAGTAAAGGCGTCCTCTGCAATTGTTATTTGCGAGAACCACCTTTTCCTGCAAATTTTTAAACGCTCCTGATAATGTGTTGATTGCAACACCAAAGGCTCGAGCTATTATTCTACTCCCCCCGTTGATGTTTTGTACATTATATGTTGTATGTATGGTATATATATATATATATATTATATATATAGATAAATATATAATATATATATATATATATATATATATTTTTATATACATATATATAATATATGTATAATATATATAATTATACAATATATATAAATTACATACTCTTTTTGTTTTCAACAAGTCGGCCGTTCTCCCACCGAGGCAGGGTGACCCAAAAAAAAGAAAAGAAAATCCCCAAAAAGAAATTACTTTCATCATCATTCAACACTTTCACACACTCACTCATTATCACTGTTTTTGCAGAGGTGCTCAGAATACAACAGTTTAGAAGCATTACGTATAAAAGATACACAAACATATCCCTCCCCCCCCCCCCCCCCTCCAAACTGCCAATTCTGGGCCACTAATAGAGCGAAACCTCCAACGTCAAAGACCTGGGAGTGATTATGTCGGAGGATCTCAACCTTCAAGGACATAAATTGTAATTTCAATCGCATCATGCCTAGAAAAAATGACAGGATGGATAATGAGAACCTTCAAAACTAGGGAGGCCAAGCCATGATGACACTCTTCAGGTCACTTGTTCTACCTAGGCTGGAAATATTGCTGCACTCGAAACAGCACCTTTCAAGGGCAGTGGCTGAAATTGCCGACTAGAAAATGTACAGAGGAGAACTTTCACGGCGAGCATAACGGAGATAAAAACTCAATTACTGGGAGCGCTTGAGGTTTCTAAACCTGTATTCCCTGGAACGCAGGAGGGAGAGAGAGATACATGATTAATAACACCTGGGAAAATCCTAGAGGGAGATCTAGTACGAACAAGCACACGAAAATCACTACTACGAAAGCTAAAGACTTGGCAGACGATGCACCATCCCCCCAAAAATTGAAAAAGCAGGGGGTGTCATAGCACGTTAAGAGACCCCATACAATAAGTGTCAGGGGCCCGAGACTGTTCAACTGCCTCCCGCACACATAAGGGGGATTACAGACAGACCCTGGCAGTCTTCAAGCTGGCACTGGACAAGCACCCTAAGTCAGTTCCTGATCAGCGGGTGTGGCTCGATACGGTGGTTTTTGCGTGCAGCCAGCAGCAACAGCCTGGTTGTCAGGCGACTGATCACCAGGAGGCCTGGTCAACAGACCGGGCCCGGGTGCGTTGACCCCGAAACTCTCTCCAGGTAAACTCAGGTAATATATATATTATATATATATATATATAATATCTATATATATATATATATATATATCTAATATATATATATATATATAATATATATATATTATTTAATAAAAGTATATTTCTTAATAAATATATCTATTATATATATATATATATTTATTTTATATATTATATATTAGATATATATATTTATATATATATATAGAGATTCTATATATATGTGTGAGTGTGTGTGTGTGTGTGTGTGTGGGGTGTGTGTGTGTTTGTGTGTTTTGATCTGTATTGGTTCTGTGAGATTCTTGCTTGAATCATCAAAAACTATACCTCTGGCTTTCATATCTACGACCTTCAAGGAGCCGTTAAGGGATGGTCATATATTTAAAAAACAGCTTATGTCGGGTACTGTGTTCCCTGATGAACAAACTACCAAGAATGAATCGAGGGCCTCACCGTCTTCAGCAGGTTCAGCACACCAACAGCTCAGACTGACTTTAGCCCGGCCATGTCATCAACAGCTACGAATTCTCTTGCTGAATGTCTCTTCTGGCATCCTCCCGAGCCAAGTGTTTATGAGACCAGCCAGTGGAGGAGGATGGTCGAGAAGGCTTCCCGGTATTCTTGTGGAATCAGGTGTAGAGGAAGGACCACTCTCAATGCCAATCCTGTGGTGGGGAAATACCCATCAGATCATTTCAAGGCTTACTACCTCCAATTAATTAAGGGAGTGAGGCACCATTTTGTTTCATTGCATTAAG